ATAGTTAGCGGCAAATTCAGCTAATGATGTCGACTCTAATTCTAGCGGCCTTTGGACATAATGTTCTAATAAACCAACACTTCAAACACATATTTGATAAAAATATTTTTACTTTAAAAATGAGATAATTTTTGTCAAATATTTTTTATGTAAATATTTCAAAATAATTTCGACTGACAAACTTTAAAAAAATCCTGTTCATAAACTATTCATCTGATCTTGGTGAAACTTGGATTCTGGTGCCTAGAAATGTCAACTTTTATGAAACTACTTTCATAATTCTATGTACACACGGCTACGTAGTGCGAGAACGAGGATATCAGTTAATTCAATATTACTCGCAGTCTATTTGCAGTTAATTGTAGCCTATCTTCGAAGGCATTTAAAACTATCTATACTTATTTTTAATAAATATTGTTTTGTTAATTGTTATACTAGTGTACACTTTATTGACAGATACTTCGAGTACAATAGCAGGCGATTGATACGAACCAACATTCATCACAATATATTCTGATGGAAAATTTATTATTAGTCAACCAGGTAAAAATTAATTCTTGTTTTCTAGAAGATTAATAACATATTACGATATTAATAAAACATATTTAGGCGTTGTTTTATTGCAATAGAATTAATTATTTTTTATAGTATTTTATTATGATTTATGTGTCTGAAGAGTATGTAATTTATTTTAAATAAACAAGATGTTATTGTCTTAATAAAAGTAAGATTTAAATAGTTTTTGTGTCCAAATATTCATTTTAAAAGTTATATTATTTAAACTCACAATTTTAAAACATTTTATTTAATAAGTTTAATTATTTTTATTTCAAATAAAATCTTAAATTTACAAATAATTTTAAAGTGTGCCTTTCACGACAAATATTTGGCAATAATTAAGATAAATTTTTAGAAAGCTAATTTATAAATATAATTTTAATGTATAATTAAGTAAAACAAACTAGATAATTCTATTTTAGTACTGGTAGTATAATTTCATTTCAACATACCACTTTCTAATTTAATTTATCTCATTTTGATTTATTTTAATCTTAATTAATCTAATTTTTCTTAATTTATCTCATCAGTATATATTTATTGAGTTTTATTTCATGAGTAAGCAATAATCGAAGTGATTAAGCTAAAATTTAGCTTAATCATATTTAATGTTACTTTCACCGAGTGTTTGTCACATTCCTCAAGAATACCGGCGCTGCAAATGCTTGTCATTGAATACAATGCAGACAATTGTCTGAGAAATAATGATTTTGAATATCTATTGAGATGAATGTAGATTCAGTGCACACTTTTTACGGGTCATAACAATTATTTAGCAATATTTGGCATTTATTAGGTATCTTAAGTATATTTCACAATAATTTTATTAACAATTCAATAATCAAGTGATTGATAAATAAGTCTAATTCATAATGATTGGTAACAATGAGTTATTCATAAATATAAAACAATGTATGCAATATAATATCGCATTACTGTTGTTATAAAACATGATTGAAATTCTTATATAATTAATATAATTTATGATTCACTACACTATTGTCCAAAACTCTTAAACTGAAAACTATTAAAGCCATTGAAAACACTTATTTAGTCCCAACTTATTATTACCGTAAAAATGCTGTAAGTGATTAATATTATTTTGGTATTTCAATGTCTAATAGCCTTTTATGAACATTTGTTTGACATATTCTTATACATAGATTAAGTTTTTATTAATTAGTAATTATTGTAATTATTGTAAATATTTAATCAATGAAATAAAAACAGATATTTGACATTCATTAAAAAATTTTGTACTAAAATGATTTTATAAATAGTTTTGAATTATTTATTACAAGACTTTGTCCCAAAATATTGTAGAATTGTGCGATAATACGTGTAAAAGAATTTTTGCTTAAGGTATTTATTAATTCAATAGATTTTATTTGTTATAAATACAAAATTGTGTGATTAGTTAATTTTAAATATATATAAAGTTGTTTTTATCAAATATAACTTTCATCGCTAAATATTTTTATTGTTTTTTAAAAATTTAAAATACTTTTCCCCATAAATAATCATTTGATTGTTTAATATTTTTATTATTTTTATACATTTACATTACTAAACATGATAAGTTATCATTTATGAACAGTGTTAGCTAAAATAACTGGATGCTATTATAATTATTATATTGTATGATTAATAATTTTGAAACATAAAAAATTTATAAATTGTTTTCAGCAAATATTTTTAATAAAACTAAATTTGCATCCAGGTAGTAGTTATGTGGTACTTAACCATAGCATTTGCAACGGAAACCAGCAGAATCACAATAACCACCTCGAAACTATAACGATTAAAATATTAATTATAAATACTTATAATTAGTTAATAAGCATTAATTAAAATATAATTACTCTGTTGTCTTTGCAGTGGCGATCGCACTCATATCGGTCGGAGCCAATCGGGCCAATACAGCCAAAGCCACGCTTAGCCCTCCGGAGCTCAAAGGTCTGACCACTGGCCGACTCTGTACGGCATAGTAGGGCTAATACAACCAGTAGTACAATAAATGCAACACTTTTACTGACATTCATTTTGTAGTTTTTAATAATTAAAATACTATTTATTACAGTTATTACTTGTAGTTATAATACCTATTATGTATAAAAATCCCCCTTTTATACCATAAAACAAATCCTGTTTTATTGTTTTTATGTAATGTTTACTTAGATAAACTTTATAAATTATGTATTTATTTGTATAACTATTTGTATTAATTTGTTATTTTAATGGAAAATTTATTTTTAGTCAACCATGTAAAAATTAATGGTATTGTTTTCTAGGATCTTAATAGCAATATAATAACTTTTTAATAATAACACATTTTATTTACTGTTTTATTGCATTAATATTAATTGTTTTTTGTAATATTTTAGTATTATTTTAAATAATAATGATTTATTAGCATTAATTTTGTAAATAATGTAATATTTCTATAAAATTAATTGTTTATCATATTATCCTTTGTGTATAACATGTGCAATGTGAAATAATAATTAAATGTAATAGAATAATATTTATTATAAGTGTAACAAGAAATAACATTAATTATTTTTACTAAAAATAGATTATAAATTATATGTCTGAATTGAGTGTTTAATTTTTCAAAAATAAACATAATGTTATTTATTTAATAAAAGTAAAATTTATATAGTTTTTAGGTTTAAAATTCAAATATATTTAATTTAAAAGTTATTTTTATTTTAACTTAAAATTTTTATAATATTTTATTTAATAAACTTAATTATATTTATTTTAAATAAAATCTTTGAATGTGAAAGAGTAAAATGTACTTTCTAATAAGTTACAATAAAAATTTTTAAGGGGCAATAACTAAGTAAAATTTTTAGAAAGTTAATTTACAGACATAATTTAAATTTTTAATTAAACAAAATAAACTAAACAATTCAGTTTGTAGTGTTAAACAAATAGTTGTTGTTAAAATTTTACTTAAAGAATGGATACAAAAATAAATAGTAAATTAAAATTAAAATTTAAATTGATTTAGTTATCAACCATGCACAATTAAGTTATAATTTAAAACTGCATTTAATAATCTAGCACATGGTGAAATTATTTTGTTTGTAACATTTGTGGTTCCGAAATAATCCTCACCCGAAGAGGTCAACCTTCGGAAACCCTGTAGTGGGATTCGAACTCACAACCTATGGGTTAAGAGTCCTGCACATTACTACTGGACCACCAAGCCTGAGCCATTAGTGAAAGGTATAAAACCTTCTTTTAAGTTTAATAATTGTGCATTGCACATGCGCCAGCCTTAACGTTATACACATTTCATACACTAATACCTCGTTATAGTGGATAAAAGTACAAAAATATCACAACTTCTCTCCTGTAAGAGCTAGAGTTGATTTGACAACATATTTAAATAGAGACATGGGCCTTCCATAAAGTACGTCCGGACGTAATTTATGGACAACCATACACTAATACCTCGTTATAATGGACAAAAGTACAAAAATATCACAACTTCTCTCCCGTAAGAGCTAGAGTTGATTTGACCACATATTTGGATAGTGACATGGACCGTCCATAAAGTACGTCCAAACGTAATTTATGGATAATCATTAAGGTGTACCCATAAATTACGTCCGAATGTTAACTTTATGGGGAATTTTGATTAACTTTGAGAGTGTATAACTTTTAAGTCGTTTATCACATTTTGATTTAGTTTTCAGAATTGAATACGTCTATTATCTCTTTATAAAATGGTTATCTTGAATTTACCAAAATCAAAGTAAAATATTAAATTAAATCTATTTTTAAAAAATTATCATTATTTTATAATCTAATTATTCCAATAACTTCTTATTTTTTCGGCCGATTTTAATTTATTTTTCACGATAATTTAATTTCATGAATACTCTTTAATATCCTTATATATCCATGTGTTTTTAGTGAATTATGTGTGTAATATAACTATATGGGCAATCTTAACTTTTTATCTAATATTAATTATATTCTATTAGTATTATTAATAATTAATAATAGCAAAAAATTCACCGTTGAGCGCCTGGCCAAACTGCCCAGCCAGGCCGTGCCGGTGCCCTCTTTTTGCTCCATAGAGCCAGGCGAGGAGTTAGTTCCTGTTTGACGATTTATTAGTCGCTAAGATCTACTTCGATTGGCACAGCGACTGGATCCATGAGAGGGTCAAACGATGGATCATGGATAGGGTACAAACACACTGCACGATTATAGGTATGGAAATCGTGTCTACACCCTCTGGCATTGGGCGGCTCTGGAAGTGCATTAGCACTTTGCGGAATCAGGGCTGTAAAGTGGGCCTGCTTGCCTTCACCAGACAGACTTACACAAACTGGTTGAACGCCCGTCTCCAATGCTCTTGTAGGGGAATAGACAATGTGTTGTCGGCCAGTAGAGGCATAGACATTTATTGGGCGATTTAAGGCAACTGACGCCGCCAAGTGTGTTATAGCTTCGCCCCACTCACTGAATATGCTGGCAATTTTCAGTATGTCTGTGAATGGTCTTTCCTCTTCATGTGCCATATCTTGGAAGTAAGCGACTGTATTAGCGTCACACAATGCCATTAGTACACCAAGTCTTATCATTGGCATGTGCTTAATTGTTCCAAACATTGATAGAGCGAATGCGTGGAAACTACAGCTGCCGTCACCGGGAACGTTGAACTGTTGATATATGGCTTTCATTGTCGAGGGTATATGTTGTTGATGTTGTTTAAACATCCAAACAGCACCGCCTGTTACGACATTCTCAGTGATCACAGGTTCCGATTGCCGTAAGGCGTTGACTACGGCGCAACAAATCTCATGACTGCTCTGAAGATAATCTCTAATCATTTGACCGGTGTTGTCATGATACAATCTCTGCATACTGATTGTGTTTAACAACCGAGTAGATTCAATGGCCAACTGGTGAAGTGTATATTGAAGCTGTGATTGCATTGGCTCATCAACACTCTGTGATGCCATCGGTTGGTCATCGTCACGATTGTGTTGTTGTGATGGCATTTGCTCATGGTGATCAATATGTGACTTTGATGGTATGTGTGATGTTATTGGCTTTTTGGGTGAATTGTCTCTAACATTGTCGCCTACATTCAGTGTATCGCCAATTGGATGTTTAGGCCATTCTGGGAAATCATATTCCCCTTCAGGATTAGCACTTTTGCTAGACATCCAATCTAGAAGTTTCCGATAGTAGTAGTTGAGCATGATTTTTTCTGGGACAAACGCTAGGAGTTGCAGATTTTGAGGTTTGCGAACTCTTGTGAGAGCCACATATGCTTGGCCCGATTCGAAGAATTCCCAGTCAAGACTGACTATAACCTTTTCCAGAGTTTGTCCTTGAACTGCATGTACAGTCACAGCCCAGCCGAGATCTATCGGTAACTGATACCTGACAAACGCGTCCTGACCTTTCCATTCAAGGGTCTGCTTCATCGATGTCACTGGCCAGTGCTCTTTTGCATCCAATGATTGAAGAACTATATGCTTCTTGTCTTTGTCAATGGACTCAACAATTGCTATACGGCCGTTGACTTGGCCTGCACTTGTGTTAATATTTCTTTTCATTTGGACCAGTGCTCCGACTTTCAATTTAATTATGCGTTTGTATTTCTCAGGCAAACTTTCTAATTGTTTGAGTTGGTTTTCACTAAGTTTGTGTCCACCGATAGTGTAGTCATCCGCCACAAACTCGACTTCATCTCCATCGATAAACTTGAGTATTGCCAAGTTGTGGCGATCGCGATCTTTGCGCTTTGCCACCACAATATGTGTCTTGTCGCGTATAACATTACGGTATAGGGCATCATAGTCACACACACCGTTTTTGTCAGTTATCAACAGTTTCTGGAAGTAGTTCTCGACCTCCGCAGTAACGTTGGCTATTCTGACCTGTTGAAGAATCTTGGCAAACTGCATATCTTCTTGTCGTTCAATCTTGTTCAGTGAATATTGTCTGAACATTTGGAAGATATCGCCTGCAAAGCACGGAACGTTGCGAGAAGGGAGTTGGGCGGGATCGCCGAACAGAATTACATGTTTCCCACCAAATGGTTTGCATTGTTCGTGCCACAACGTGTGTTTCCGCATCAATTTCTCCATGGTCTCGAAGAGGTCATTGTCAATCATTGACATTTCATCAATTAGCCAAACATCGCAGTGCTTTATTATAAACNGGTCATTGTCAATCATTGACATTTCATCAATTAGCCAAACATCGCAGTGCTTTATTATAAACGCCTCAACTGAGTTGTATTTTACATGACTTTTGAGATGTGTGTCTAATTTAAACATGGCGTGTACCGTTCGACCTCCTACCATGTAAGCGGCAGCTCCTGTAGGCGCCAACACACAGAACGTACGGAATGTTGTCTTATCGGTCATTAGACAGAAGGCGCAAATGGCTTTCAACAGATGACTCTTGCCAGTGCCGGCCGGACCTACAATGCATGCCAACACTTGATCGCCTTTGCTTATCTGTTCTTGAATGCTTTCAAATATAGCCTTCTGATCAGAGTTGAATGACTCGACATATTCAGTTAGCTTTTTGACTTTCAAATCAGGCAACGGGTATTTTCCGTAGGTTTTTTCATCTGACTCTCCGTCATATACGTATTGAAGCTGATATTCGGGGAAATCCTTGAACATGTCTCTGTCGACGAGATCTTTATAGAACTCTTGCACTACATCTTTGCCCATATAGTTATATTGCATTAGTATATGGGCAAATTCTCGGAGACGCAATTGATCGAGACCCATATGTTCAGCATGAGCTAGGAACTCTAGTGACACTTTCTCTGTATCCCATAGTCCCCGTATTAGACACTCTTGAAGATAGGACTCATCAGCGTTTTTATCTTTGGTAATGAGTTGTTCACGGGATGTAAATGGGACCGCTTTAAGTAGAAGCATTAGGCAGTATTTTTCTATGTCCTCACCATAGGGCAGGAGGAACGGCCAACGGATTGCTATATCATGCTTCCGTCTTATAATTCTGCGACGTTCCTGATCGAACATAACTT